TACATATCCCTTATTTTTGACTGCTTAACAGACATATGAAGTTTGTATAAAGACTCAGTGCCATCCCTTGCTAGAAACGATCGAGAACGCGTTGCACAGGTGGTTATCAATTAAAGTGCTCGTCCCGGTAACCGAATAATCAGCCGTAGTGTCTGCACGCGGGAACGTTCACCGGGCAGCTCATAAACGTTTATTACTTCGCGGAGAATGGGAACGAAGGAGATAGTAGGGGAAAAGGGCGGAGCGGTCGGAAGTGTGCCCGTTATACGGAAGTCCCGGAAGCGGCGTGCGGAGCCGTGCTTAATCGTGTAATCGCATTCGCGCGAATATTTGACTTGCCGTGCGAGGGAAATTTCATTCGTCTCCAGTTGGCAAGTGGCAGCAGCCACCGCCACCGTAGCCGCCACTATGCCACCACGCTTGGTGAGACATAATTACACGTCTGATTAAACATCACAATTGCAAGTCAGCCGAGATTTGTCACGAGCGTCTGTGGCCTTGCGGTCGCCCATCAGACGTGTCTGTTCCAGGTCCCCTCCCCCCCTTCGGTTAGAATCCAAATCGCGTTGTAATTCGGTCAGGAAGAAACGACGGTTGGTAACGGTCTACGGTGTGGAAATCGGTAATTGATCCAGTTAATGAACGACTCGCGTTAATTCGATCGAGAGTGGGAGGAAAACCGGGTCGTTTGCGGATATACGATTCGATAGAGGAATCGTGCCGACCTAGTTTCCATTTTCGATTCTTTTTTCTAGTTCGACCTTGAGGTGGCTAGGCTTTTTTCTGGATCGATCTAATTTGGAGTTTTGTCGAAGGGTAATGGAAATTGTCTGAAGTATATTGGAGCATACGTGTATTAACACGTTGATTGCCACAGTGAAAAAGGCCGTACGTAGCCAGACACGATTTATTTCGTTTTTGAGTCACAAATCGTCGAAGATATATTTAGTTAATAGAGGCTGTTGATCTTGTTTTAAATTGTACGGCGATATTAATTCGACGACAACATTTTATAACGGTATTTAAGACAGTTAACAGTTCGATAAATATGACAAGTATTGTACTGACGAGTCATTTTGACTTGATTGATAATTCCAGTGTTAAATATAGTCAGGCTCTTTGGTGACGTGGTAGTCAACTGTTAAAATACACTGCAACGGCGTAATAAGAAATGACGATGTACTGCATTCTGTAACAATGCAAATTCAAAGTGTTTCCCAGCAAGAAACTCCACACGTACTAAACACCAGTATACATTTACATAATTTCTTACACGGTTATTCGTATACAATACACTATTCACCTGGACTCCCTGCAAGCATCCTCCCATATCTTTCCCTGCCCACGCGCACACATATTAAACCACAGAAAGACAAACATTTATGATTTAATCCCTCTCCCGAATTTCCAGAATTCACTTCACGCTCACCAAGATTACTTCCTCTATTTCCATACGTATCACCCGCATCAGAAAACTTATCTCCGTTCATCGTTTCCGAACGTGTTCTCCAAGGATCCTAGAATCGACGCCAGCCTCTCCAAGAATCTCGAAAAAAGGGCACACACCTTCGCGTTTCCTCGGCTTCAATCGCGCACCGTCGAGCCGTGAGAAATCCCACTCGAAAATACGCGATGTAGCGAGGGCGGATCGTCGATCAAAACGATCCTCATCAATCTTCGCCTGGGTTACAGCAGTTTCAGTCGCGCGTTCCGGCCCGAAAACGAATCCCGGTGTAACTTACAAACGATGGGATCGCTGGCGCGACGGTAATTGAATCGCGTCGGTAACACCCTCGTTCCCCCCTCCCCCATTGCCCGCGACATTCGCTACTCTTGGAGAGGAAGGGTGGGGGGGCGGATTTCCACAGGAGACCGATCGATTCCGGCCCCGTCATTTTCCCTCGATCCGTCGAAATTACATCTGTCGACGGACAAACGGGAGCGTACGGATCACGACGTTTATATCTGGATGGGACAGGGAATTGCGGCAGCGTTAGGTGACACTGACCCGGAGTTGCATATACAGGGTGTCTTATTTGAGTGTGAAACCCTGCATTTTTTTAATTGTGAAAACACAAAAAATATTTGACACGGAAAAACCTGCAAGTTTGTGGGGGTCTCTAGGCCCCCACCAGGGCGCCACAAACGTGCCGGAAAAATTTGGGAATTTATGGGACATTTACTGGCGCCCCCCACCACTTTGGTGACGAAAATTGGAACTAATTCCAGAACTTAAGATTTTTAGTATTGTCACAATTAAAAAAGATATTCTGGGGGTCATACTTAGATGAGCCGACCTTCGAAAGAAAGTAAGTCTGAAACATTATTTTCGAATAACGAATAATCTGAGAGATAATTGCGTCTATAGATTCGAATGGGACACCCTGTATGTATGTGTATTCGTCCCGAAAATTTCAACCGCAAGCCCCCTCGGGAGTTTATGAACGCCGGCGACGCTGCGACAACGTTTGCGTTTCTGCGTCGTCGGACACCTGTAACGTTATTGCCTGCACGCGTGTTATACACCAGCCGGCTGCATTATGCACGAGAAAGACCCTGGAGCCAGTATCTAGCTGCGCGCGGGATGGAGATCAGTCTGCGTGAATTTAAAAGTCGGGGAATGGGGGAATTCGGTTTTTTAGTTTGTTACACTTGTATATATCGCGAGTTTAAATGAATATACGTAGTGAAAATAGTGATACGAACCTTTGCGACTTGTAAAAACTGTAAAATTCTACTATGAAACCCATGATTCGTCGAAATTGCATTCTCAGCTGTATTGTTCGCAATGCAGACACATGAAATTTCTATATGAAGTATCAAATTGAAATATCGAACACAATAGGCGTGCCCGTACGTAGCTTCGATTCAATTCGTTCTATCTTGGACGTTCATGCGAAAGATTCCAAATAATCTTCGTATATACCTCGTCGAAAGAGGGCCAGGAATGCAATCGATGCGGAAACTGGTCCAAAAATACGGTACACAGAGTGTTCCACGGGGCGTGGTGTTCCTATTCGTCGAAGAATTTAAAAAGCAGCGGTCGAGAACCAACCGGAAAAGTTTCTCTCAATTAAACGCTCGCTCGGAACGCGTCGAAACGCGGAAATACCGCGGAATTTAATTAACATTCTGCCACGCGCAAGGAGACGAACCGAGCGGTTTTCTGAATCGGGTTTGGAGGCGAGAAAAAATTCGCCGATTGGGAATCGAGTATCGATAGTCGATCAATGAGTATCGTGTAAATGGAACGATTTGTTTCAGTCAGTCACGGCGATATTAGATTTTTTTTCGTTCACTACGATCCGTAAAGGTTTAATTAATTTTTAATCAATACGTTTCGATCCATCTTGCTTGGTTCATTGGTGGAGATCAATGATATATCTCCAGCGCAACGATAGAGACGGTTATCTAGACAATTTTCTTGTGCAGTTTAATTCATTAACGTAGCTTGCTAATTGACGTCCAAAACTTTCGTTACACTGAAGTATTTCGAATGTCTAGAGATGGGCCGAGCATTCTTCTGGCAATCACTATCACAGATGTTATTGGGTTTGCATGTTGACGTTCTACAGTTTAATTTTTGTTAATAGAATTAATACTACGTGTCCGTATGAGTTTTAATAGTAATCTTCATGTTCGATAGCACGTTCAAATGTCTGTCTATGTCACTGAATACACATCAGGGTGAGAAGTTCTCACTGAGAACACTGCAGTATTCAGTTTGTGTTCCCTAAAGTGGCTCGTAGACGATCGAGTATGCCTGTCGATCACGCTTGACAGTCCATGATTGACTATTTCCCAGGTGTTTCAAGTGCCACCTGAAACAATTCCCAGGCTTTAATAGAAATTCTGCCGCACGTTGTAAATTCAATACTGCACGGTCATTTGTGCGAATTTCTAGACACATTCTTGTACAGTTAACATATTTTTAACCGAACTACCGAAGACTACATCATAGACAATTAACAACGAAATTTAACAATGCAATATATCACCAGACAATAGATTTCCTTGGGTCTTTAGCAAAATCTTGATAAAGTATTCCGAAAACGGAAAGAAAAGAAATTATCATAGAAAATAATGTATTCAATCAATTACAGAAAAATAATTGTCGTAGATAATAATATATTCGATCAACTACAGAAAAATAATTATCGTAGAAAATAATATATTTATCAATTATACTGTCTCAATTATATTGAACGAACTCTTTCAACCTCTTTAACGGTATAAACTCTATTAAGGCATTTTACCATCGTATCTCGTTAAAACAGACTTAAACGTATCAAGACTTCCAGAACGATCCAATACAGCAGACAAAACGATGAACACTCAAGAGCATCAGGCTCACGAGTCCTTAAAACTTGAAATCGTGTCACGAAGGTAGACTGTCCCAACGACATTAAAACAAAAGAACGGTGCTTAACTGAAGAAGTCCAAGAATGCATTTATCAAACTACTTCGCGAACGACACCTCGAGGACCGTTCCTCCGTTTCGAGACTCGGTATCAGCAAACGACCTAGTCAAAGCCCCTGAGCAGAGGGTCAGTCGTTTATCCGTTCATCCCATTATCAGGAGAACTTGCCACGTGATCCACACCTCGTAAATCAGTGTTGACATAAATACTGGAGTTCGCAGCGAAAGAATTCAATCGACCGAATGAATCTCGACGCGTCGCGTATTCGGCCAGCGAGATCGTCCGCGGGAATAATCGGCGCGGAAGTCGGCACGAACGAACTTAATCGTCGGAACTACAGGCCGAAGTCTTAAATCTCGGTGAACCTCCTGGAAACTAAGTTTCTCGACGCTATACGAGCTAGAAATTGGGGGAAGGAGGGCCTCTTTCTCTCTGTTAACGAGTCGAGCCCGCGATAGAACGGCGACTACGATCGTAACGGTTTAACGGAGCTGTTTCGCGTTTCTGCGCAGAGGGAAGATGAACGAGATGGAGCAGATTCCTGAAGGCTGAGAGACCCGACGAAAGCGGATCCTCGACATGACCGGCTGGAGAATGCGGTCGACTGCATCGGCGCTCGGCGTCATCGCCATTGTCTCCGTCATGATCACTGCCACGGCGTCGGGTAAGCGGTTATATTCTTCTCACTCTCTCTCTTTTTTTATCCTACTTCCTTTCTCCAACCCCTTTTCACGAGTCTCTGACAACGTGTTTGTACGATGGTTTCTCTTGTACAATGGCTTTCGCGATTCTGTTGTTGAAAGTCTTCTTGGTATACTAACCGTTAAAAGGCAGGCAGGTTCCAAGAGAAATTACATTAATCAGTGGCACACCTTCACAATTAATGGCTTGCTTCTGAACGTAAAGAAAATTTTTTGTTAAAGGTGCGCTTGACCCGGGGAATTTCATGCGATTTCTGGTAATCGTGTTACGCTAAAAAAATTCCTACAACTTTTTAAAGAATTTACATTTTTCAACTAAATTTTGAGGAAAGTTGAACATTAATTTTTCACACCAATACCAAAATAAAATTTGAAAAAAAAAGTAGACGAAAAGGAAATAAATAAAAGTAGAGAACAATTTTATATATTACTAATTTTGCATAATTCGAGGTATATCTGATCGAGGAATACACCCGAACAAATCCACGAATTTTGTCCAAATAAGTCAAATTTTTGAAAAAATAAGAAAATTATCTCCATCCAACGAGCAATGCTCGAAGTGGAATAGTTTGCTATATAAGCACGGAAACCAGCCGCGTTCACGTTGTTAATTTTCCGTTGTCGCTAGATTGCCCCGATGAACGGTCCTCTTATATCGGCTACCGTTTCCACGTCGACCGAATTTTCAAAACGAAACGCGATTGTTTACTCCGTTCCCACGTACCGCCACGTAAGCGATTCCGTTCGGCCCCGCCGATAAACGCTCGGAACGTTTACCGTGCTCGATCGGTCGGACCAAAAAAAAAAATATACAGACACACACCCACGCCCACAGGTACACACACAAAAAAAAACAGACACATCGCAACGAAGAGATCACAGTTCGTCGCTTTTTATGACGCGACCCACCGGCCGGAAATAATCTCTGAAAATCGTTTTTACGCGCAAACAACGCGCATACCGAAGGTCAATCGTGGCCGCAGTCGAAAATGGATGTTCTGTGACGAAGGCGATAGCAATGGAGCGCTAGAAAAAAAAGTTTACTCTAGCGCTGTGAATGTAACCCACTGGTTGTGCATTCTTTGCGCCCTTTTGAGCCCTTTATTTACCCTCTAGACTATCCTGTACCCCGTGATGTACCTCTTTCTGGATGAAATTTGGATTCGTTGGACTTGAAATTTACACGTTTAAATTTTAGTGAACGTTGATATTAACATTGTTAGGATGATATCCAGGTTGTTTTAATAATTGATAGTACCATAGAGAAGGTGCTGAAGGAAAAAATAAATAGAAAATTTGGAATAATATTCTTAGACACTTGGTTATCGTGTCTGTCTGTTGTTGGCTGTTTCTACTTGTGGCAATCATCATTCCATACAATACTTCATACATGGATACAGTTTAGATTTTCATTTTAATAATGAATAAAATATAGGTGAATACTGAAAATAGCGAACGCGTTAAACGATCCCCCTACGAGATAAAAAGAAAATATGACAATACAAAACGAACACGAAATCCAAAACCAAGAAACGAACTATCATCAATACCTCACACGTTTCACTAGATATTTCCTCTGAAAATTGTCTCCCCGTTGTAAAAACTTCATCTGCCGGCGTATTACGAACTTTCTGCCGGCAGCGGTGGTACTGGAAACAAAAAACGAAGAACAGAGGACCGTGTGAACGAGGAAACAATGTGTCGAGCAGCAGGAGAGCCCGTTCGCAAAACAGGCATCGCAGAAAATAATCTATAGAATCTGCCGGACGGCACGTCCTACAAAATCCCGACCCGTGGTTCGAGAAATTATGATCGATGAACGGGCGCGCGTTCTACAATTAAGCAAAGTTACGTGACCCGTCGCTCGCACTTCGGTCTGTAATTACGGAAAAATTAGCGAAACTTTTTCGTTGCCTCCCGCACCTTTCGTCGTTTTTGTGATCCCCTGCGAGTCAGTTTAATCTCGGGAGTTGAGGAAATTGCGAGCTCGGCCTGGAAGCACGCGTTTTCGACTAGTTTCCGGTCCATCGACGTGAGTGGGAGATCCCTGAGAAGATAATTTTTTATAATTTATGGAACCAAGAGGCGTCATTAAAAGTTTCAGGTGGTGAATATGATTTCAATGATACACAAGGGAATTCTTGCATGAGACAGAGAATGTCTCGGTTAGTCACTCTAATAATATTTCAGGTATATTCTATCTTTTCTTATTAGGAAATTATGGGTGTTTCACAAATTTTCCAAAAAGAGAATGAAAGAGATATTTGTTTCTGGTATTGACGGCTCTATTTGGTTAACGGTAAAATAGGAATTCATGGGATTGAATGCAGAATATAGTCTCTATCGAATTGCAAACGGTACAGAAAGGGGTTCCGTTGGTTCGAAATAAATAAAAGGGTACATAGAGGATGGTTGAGCCAATAGAATCGACGTGGAGCTAACGTTATGTATTGTAATGTCGATCGGCCCGTAGAACAGACGTCACAGGGTATCGATTGAATATCCAGTTTAAACAATAACGTGAAAAATGAAATGGAGACGCTTTGAATCGCTGTAAAATATCATCGAAGTCTGCCCGATAATCCTCCCACTCATATGTAATTATTTATTGATTAAACTTTAATTGTCAGCGTAAACAACACACTCTATCTGTGACTAATTAATTTCAATTTCGCAGCTGGTAATAAAATACAGATTCTTCTGGCCGATTTATTGAATATCAGTAACAGTTATACAAATAAATATGTATTACGTTTCGTATGAACAGTCAGTTCAACAATCAGTTAATAGTATTAACAATCAGTTTCGTATGAAACTCTTGTTACAGTTGCAGCAATAATAAATAAACCGTTCTATATTTTCAGTCTTCAATTAAGTGATGCCCTCGAAATGTTTCGGTGGCACAGCCAATAGGAAAATAATAGTATATAGAAGTTTCATTTCGCGTTTAATTATTCGAAGGTCTCATATTTCAATGATACAACAGCAGCAGTGCGTTGATTCGTTGAAATCAACTGACATACGATTCCTACCGTATAAAAAAAAATATCATAGCTCGAAATTTCGGATGAATATCTCACCACGCTTCATTCGCCACTAAGTTTTCCGTTCACGTTCCTGGTCTTCCAACAGATGCGAAACTGCACTTGTTTTCGGTACAAGATACCATACCCAAACGTATTAGGTCTCGAGGATCCGGTGTACCGCGCGATACTTGGCAACGGGGGAGCCTGTTTATGCGGACGGATATGGTTATCGCTTTAACAACTCTTGGAACAGAAGTCGCGGACACTGAATTATAGCGCTGGAGTGACGATATTACAACTCAATATTTGAGAAGGAGAAAACACTTTTAGTTAGTAAATCAGAGATGTCTTTGAATATTGAAATGAATAACACTTCAGTATTTTCTATTAGTCACACAAGATAAGAGTTAGTCAAAATACCAATTCTGTTATTAAGAAAGGCAATTATTATGTGAAATTAAAATATTTATTCAGAGAATAAAAGGCAAGATGACTTTGTCATGTTTGTCTGACCAACTACGGACTACTACTCACACTTTCCCGTAGACACAATGCATACAGTACCTCTACTAAAATGTCCTGTACTTTATTCGAACATAAAATTGTAAATGTCGAAGTATTTGCCTTAATTAACAATTTCCATTCGTTGGCAGAGCACCGACTACAAAAATAATGAACCATAAACGTCTGTATAACCCGTACATACTTCACTTTCTCGTGTCTGACCAAACACTGTCCTATACTACTAGCTCCCACAGCAACTCACTTATTTACAACTCCGAACAGTTTCCTTTCCCCTCATCAGCGGCGCTTTTTACCACTTTCTGAAACAATTACATCCACCGCCGACCGCCATAAATACGACAAAAACGAAGATAAATAAGAACGGGGGCAAAATGACGCATAAATCCGCGAAAGCCGGCTATAAAGAGGCGTCTGGTCTCATTCCGCATTCTTTCCATACGGTTCCGGTTACGACGTCGAGGCCGCGCTGCAAAACTCGCGCCATTTACCAGGGGAATTATAACGCGGATTAAAATTTCGTCGCATTCTTCCGCGAGTCGGCCGCGCTGGAATGCTCCGCCGGACGAACGAAATATCTACTTCCTCGCCTCCCTCCGGAAAAATTCCGGAAGCGACCGGTGCGCGGTTACAATGCCACTGTCTAATTTCTTTGTTCCGAGACCTCACGTGTCCTCGCAGGAAAAAAACGTACCAACGAGGAAATTCCGTTTTAAACGGCGCTGGGAAATGCATTCAATACGGTATCGCTGAAACACGAAAGAACTTTTTCGACGAATGTCGGAGGACTTTATTGGGAAACGGTTGTTGAAGATCCATTTTCACGTCATTCTGATTTAACATACCAGTTTCGTGTTTCAACATCGCTGAGCCAAGCATCGCTGTATTTAGTTTCGATAAATTAAGATGGATTGTGTTTAAAATGTAGAATCGATTGAGATCGTGGGGATTTCCTTGAGAGTGAAAGACGATTTTCGATTTACGATAGGTACGTTTTCTTCGATTTTTGCACCCTTTCCGTTGTATTAACACGGATAAATCTATAGGATCAAATGTCAATTTTGTAGTGAATGTACAAACTATTAACTTAACAATTAACGTAACACTAACCTGGTACACAATGATCGTCAATTCTTATAACGGTATTTCTTCTTTCTCGTAATTTTGGAATTCCTCCTGAACAGAGAATCCTTCCAGTTAAACGACGAACCGAAAAGCGACAGAACTTTCCAATCGACCCAGTACAATGCACTCACACAAGGACTGTTGAAACAAAGAACAGTATCAAAAGCGAAATAAAATATATAGATCCCAGAGAAACGAATCGCTCGTACGTGTTCGAAGACGAGGGAAAAAAGAGCCGAGTCGATACCTCGAACCTACTTTCCACGCGTCGCGTCGGAGAGAAAAATACGAGGACAGAGCTCTGTAACAGTATATCGCTCTGGTGGGATTCTGTTCGACGTAAAATTACAAATGACGCGTATTTCTCTCGAAAGTCCTGAAAAGTATAGAGCAGGAGGTCGCCGGAGGGCCACGATATTCGTCTCCGCTTGTTATCTTCACTCCCGTCGATCCTCGTTCAGCCAAGATCTAGGAAGAGAGAAAGAGCGTGTTACACATTCATAAGGCGCAGGTACAGGTTTCATGGGATGATATAGCATCACTTTTCGATGGATACTAAAAGATGCATCGATAGCGAAACCTGGCGGCCGGGAAATCTCTAGGATGCATTCCTCGCGACGTCGTAAATTCGGCGTCGAGTATCCGTGAACAAAAGCGGCGACGTCGACGACGAAACGCGATTCTGTCCCGATCTGAAAGGCTCCTCGGTGAATCTCGAACCGTAGAGCTTGTGTAAAGTCTCCAGAATTCTGTGACGCGAAGGATAAGAAGGGGATATATGCGAATCGAACAGTAAAAATGCATACTTGATCTCAGCTTAGTACTATATAGAAGGCAGACTAGGTTTCGAACTTTGTGCAATGAAGTCGTTCGTACTAATAGGGAATCAGAATCAAACGAAATATCAATCGGTATTTTCAGTAGCTTCTTAAATGCTGCTGGCAAGAATTTACAATTTTCAATCCTTATGCATTCTGATTAAAATAAAAACGAACCCCTTTTTTCCTTGATTAGGGAACACAATCTATCCTTTTCTCTCCTTCCCTCCCAATCGGCCAAAAAAATCCTGAACAAACTTCTCTCGAATGCCAACCGCACCCCTCTCCCCGTTGCTCGACACTTCACCCCGAGAGAGCTCAGGTCGATAACAAGCCATCCCATCTCACCGATTCCTCTTTTTGTCCGTGTCACCAGAAACGGACAACGGCGCCATCGAGCACAGCATCAATCATCCCGTGGTCGACGAGGATGATCGAGGGATCCGTGAGGCTGAGGATACCACGAACGGGACCACGGGCAGCCAGGTGACCGTGACACTCGAAATCCGCGGGAACGACACCGCGTACGAGGTCACGGAGCCTCGATTGATCCGTGATCCGGTGAACCACAACCGTACGACCAGCTTCCCAGTCGAAGTTCAGCTGGCGGAGGACGTCGAGCCGCAGAAGGATCAGAGTGAATCTGGTCCCCTGACGGTGGACAACGTCGTGGACAAAGAGGAGCACGGCCTCGCGGGGACGGAGAGGATACCAGAGCGCGACAGTACACGGAACAAGGTGCAGAACACTAGCAGGGATTACCCGATGTCGACACGATCCAGTCGAACGGAAACGGCGTCGAGCACCAGCCCGTGGGAGGGTCAGCTTCCTATCCCCTGGAGAAGCGAGTTCGAGGACGTCCAGGTGGACGACGAAGGTCTGTCGAATGTTCTGGAAACAGAGAATGAGGAGGAAGCGATCGAGTCGGTCCTCGAGAAACACAACAGAGAGTACCTGGACGGTGCGGTGACGTGGATCACGGGGATCGTCACGGAGGCAAAGGCGATCGAGCAGAAAAACGGGGATGACGACGTCAGGTCGATCTCGTTCCCAGTCCCGCCGCCACCGTCCTCGGTCGAAGATCTCGACGAGCTGCTGCAGAGCAGGCAGCTGGGCGACGAGGAGCCGAGGATCGGCACGAGGAAAGATCATTCCAGACCGGTGAACAATCTACTACTGGGCGCCGGCAAGTCCACGAAAGCTTTCTACGAGATAAAACCCTCGATCAAGACCGAGATGGAGAACGATCAGCTGTACCTGGCCAGCACACTGAGAACCCTCGCCGGCAGGAAATTCGTGTTGCCCACGGTCGACAGCGCGTTTGGCAAGTTCGGACCGTACTTTCAGGACGGGGATAAGGAGACGAATATCACTGCCAGGATCGGGAGCACTATGCTGCTCGACTGCAGGATCGGCATGCTTGGTAATAAAGAGGTGAGATGTTTCTCCTTTTTTCTTTCGTGTATTTTTGGAATTCTTCATTGTAGTAGGTGCTTTATATCTTTTCATAATTTTTTTATTATTGGACGTGATTTCTGTAGTCTCTATGGTAGTTACATTAGATTGTGTAAGACAGTTTCGATAACCCAGGAGACTGGATCATTGAAAACTGCAAAGAAATCATGTGATAGTCTTGATGATATATTGTGTAACTGATTTTCTTTTGAATTGATCTGGGAGGTCGTGTTAAAAAGAAAGTGCCCTTGAAGGTCCCGTTTGATAGAAGTTGTAGCCTCATCTGTGTTTCGTGCATTATCTAAAAGAACGGAGTTGCATTCCACGGGGAATATTCAATCATTGTGTCGCGGCCCGTCGTCGTGTTTCCAGCCAGAGAAAAAAAAAAGAAGTAGTTTCCTTTGTCGTCGCAAAAGTTTATGCATTTTTTGTTTTGTCCGTATCTCCGTCTCTTTCGGGCACGTTTATCATTCTGCCGTTTTTATGAGGGCGGCGTCTGGATGCAAGTCGGAAAATAGGATGGGCGATGACATGATGAAAAACCGGGCTGCAACGGTCTTGTTATATTTTTATGATCTCTGCGCCGCGCGATAAAAAGATCTCGGGATGATGAAGCGGGAAGCGAGAACCCGTTTCGGTTTTGATCTTTCCCCCCTTACGATTCTTTTGGGGAACGAAAAAACGTTTGGGACAATTCTTTAGTGCCTGGACGCTAATAACAGATGGAAGAAAAATGATCATTCGTTTGTTCTATTTGTTTTTATAAGGAAAACAAACAGAAAAAATAGTATCAATGTAGGACAGTGGAGTACAGAGAAGTAATTCGAAAATTTCTATCGATAAAATGAACGAAATGTTCTGGAAAATAATACACGATTGTGATTAGCTAAAGTGAAGTAAGTATCAGCAAATGGTAGAGTTGTGTTTTCTCGCACTGTCGACGTTTATCGACGTTCTATTTTCATACATCGGACAGGAAAGCCGGAGTGTAATGTAACGATGACAGATGAGATCGTAAGTTACGATTTCCTGTGTCTCCCGGTGACTGGAATATTCGGTTTCATTCGAACGAAGATATTGAGATTGATGCAAGCGCATCGAACGATGCAATTACGACCTTGTCCGTAATTCTTATTCTCGCGTGGCAATGGCCCTGTACGGTGCAATATTTTTTTCTGTCACGTAGCATGGAAATATATTTGAGGCTGACAGATACCGCCAGCGCAGTGGTAATATTTTACACTAAAAATATGCAGTCTCTTCGAAGTTACAAGTCTCAAAATTTTTATACACCAAAAAATAACATTACCGGTTACTATTATTCGTCACCCAGTTACAGTACTAACAATTCACATATTAACTAAATTCTTAACAATATACATATTATTTACACATGAATTGACGCTGAATTGACACTAGAACTATCGACGATGAACGTATATTTATTTCCGTCAGATCTGTAATCATGAAAACCTTTTAAATATATTCAAATTCTCGAATTAACCAATATCTTCATTTTCAAATTATAATGGGACTAAAAATGCATTGTTGTAACATTTTAATCTTCAACAAATCTGTAAGTCACTGTAAAATCTCCAACATTCCTCGACAATTTTCCCTACGAAAGTACACAAATTCATCATCGAGATATTAACTATAATCATTACGATTACCAGAAACTCCCTAGACACCTGAAAATCCACAGTTTATCCGTTCACCGCGGAAACGAGGCCAATAACGATCGCAAACGCGATTTATTAGTCGTCGCCGATCCCGTCGTGAAACTTCGCGGGTCGGTAATCAGCGCCTGGTTCTCGACGAATTCCACGTCCATCTCTCTTCCGTGCGCGGATGTCGACGGTGGTCGCTTGGGATTCCAGATGGATTCATATCCCACGGAATACGTAATGCAAAACCGATCCCCCTTCTGAGGAACGAAAAGTAGCCTGTGTGCGTCGCCGTTTCGCGCCGATACGACCCGGGAATATCAATCGAGTTTACGCGAGACTCGAGTCGTCGGGAATTTAATCGCGAAACAACGAGGCAGTCGGCGAAACTTCTTTGTTTCCCGGGCCAGGGAAGCTCTGTCGTGGACGTTGATAGGGGGGAGGGTGGAAACTAGGGTCTAGGGAACGAGGAAAGTTTCGATAAATTGTCGATACGAAGTTTCACGAGTCACGGTGATTCTGGAATCTGGACAGATACGATTTTATGCATTTATAGTGTAGAGTGTATGTATAGTGACAGTATAGTGTGTATAGTGATGTGCTTGACAGATTTCCTGTCAGGCGTCGACAGTGTGTCGGAAAAAAGTGGGAACCTCGTTAAACTTGTTTTAAATAGAGTTCGTGTCGACTGACTTCTTTTTTTAAATAGTTTCCTTTAATTCCGTTCATTTCAACTCTATTTAAAACAAGTTTAATAGAGGTTCTCGTTTTACTCTGAATCGAAAGCCCTTAACAGAACAGGGGAATTTTTCGTCGACATCTGATTAATAACTAGATATAAAAAATAAAAATTCCTATTGAAATAGGGATTAAAATCGTTGATTCGTATTTCGTATACAGAGCAGTAACAGGAGGAATTAAATAAAATTCCCGTTGTTTGATTACTGATTTAATTGATTGAAAAGAAACACGGAAATTATGTTCCGTGCTCAATGATGCCCACCATGAACGCATGGAATCCACATTTGGTAGATCGATTAAAGTGTGTAACTCGCCGCGAATAACGCGAATACCTACGGAACAATCGTATGTTTCGGGCGCGGTGGTAATCGTGTAACGTATTGTATTTAAAATCGCCACAGTGGGCCGGTACGCAGTCGATTAATTAACAAATCCGGGGTAGCTTCTACGGGGACATTTGCATAAAACGGTGGCCCGCTTAATGCCGTATAATTTTCCCCGCCTGCGTTCAGAGTGAGGCGTCCCCGTGATGTCGCGTAACTGAGCAAACGGGTGGTTACCATTGAGCATATATGAGCGGGGAGACACGCCGTTATCACGTGGACGCGAGGTGTTGTTTGATCTATTAAATTGAACAGGGTGCACGCTCGACAAAATCGTTTGACCTCCCTCTGGAACGAAAATATAGGATGGTAGCTTAATTATTTCACGGGAGATTGAACGATAAAGATACAATTCCCATCGGGAACGAGTAGTTGAAACGGTTGTCTAGTTTATACATTCTGTGACTTGTACAGTTGTTAACAAAATTGAATCTCCTTGTGGCGTAGAATACACCAGAATTCTCCTTTGCGCAGTCACGAATCCGTATGGTAATATTAATTTCGCATTTGGTTTCTATTCGAAACTGAATGAGTAATCTCCGACTGCATAATGTGCGTAAGCGACTCACAGAAGCGTAAAGAACAAAGGTAATAGGACCATTATAAATATTGAAGGACTGTGTTTCAGACGTTTGTGTGTGGAGGTGAATGGCAAAGAGTCTTTGCAGTTGGACTGTTTCAGACTTAAATGAAGTTTGGAGTTTTATACCGTAGTCTAAATATATCTGTTGCTATACTACTTAATATACGTACTGTTTTCGACAGTATACATTATAGTATGAGGCATATGAGATGTTCGATTTCTAGACGTGAGTGTAAAGAGGTAGATTTTAATCTATTAGAGGTATCAATTCGAATAGATCGATGGTCCGGCACAAAGCTTGCGGTGTACAGGTATTTCACAACGAAAGCCCCTTAAAGATAGGTACAAAGGAAGCAAGAACACTGAGAGACAAAGCACGATAAACTCGTCGACGTCTCACCAGCGTCAGTATCCCTCAATCGTGACACTGGACACGTACAATTGTATCGAGTCACCGCAAAGCAAAAAATAATGACGATAGACTCGCGAGAAATGCATTGAAAACGGCGACTCAACAAGAGGGTAGAGAGAAGCGTTAAGCCAGTCTCTGTCGAACGAGAAATCGAGAAATTATTGACTTCCATTCGCGGATTCAGCGATGGCCACTTCGATTGCTCGCCGTAAAATTATTAATTTTCGACGAGATCCCGAGAAACAATGGCTGGACCGCTTCTCGTCTCCCCTCCAGGAGTCCAGGAATCTGTGATTTATGAAGCAATAACGAAGGATATTTTGTGCTTCGCGAATCAGGTGGCATGGGTGCAACAACACAGCGAGGACTCGTTTCGACTGCTCACCATCGGCAAGACCACATACAGCGTGGACCAAAGGATCAGCCTGAACTTCCGGTAAGAGCGACTTTGTGTCATTCGATCGTTCGAAGACAGAAATTCATTCGTTAACGTTATTACCTTAGATTGAACATTCTTGTCTCTACTCTGTACATTTACAGTTCACTTGTATCATAATTAATTGCATTAATTTTATGCATAAACGAGGGACTGTAAACATCTTGAAATTCGTGCACAGTTTAAAGTCTTTCGTCATTGTAGATCTTGCTTGGTAGAGTCAGGATTTTAATATTTTTCTACTGTCAAATCTTAACACCAGAACTACCAAAACAATCGGACTAAAATGAGTTTAAAGAAATGACAGTAGTTCTTTATGAAACAGTGTGAAAAAAATCTATACAATGAGGATAAAAAGCATTAGTTATAAATGGAAAGATTGAACACTTTTAGGAGTCTGTTGAACACGTCTCCATCAAGCTGTTCTATCCAAAAGACAAATATTCCATCCAGGCGAGATTTCGATCGACGCACACATCAATCAAGTTTCATCCTCGGAGACTAAAGCTCCGAGAACGGCGATGTAAGGCGCCGGAGAATAGAGGTGAACTCGATTTTCCGACCGTTTTGACGCGAATCACTCTCATTCTCTGGGGCTGCGACGTCGTCACCGATACCGTCGACGCGCTTGATCGCAGGCAAATGAAATTTTCTGTCTGTTTGATCTTTCAGGTACCCGAGCAATTGGAGATTGCAGATACTCTACGCGTCCCCGAGAGACTCCGGTCTATATAAGTGCCAAATCGCAACGCATCCGCCGTTGGTTAAGAAGATTAACGTGGTCGTCACTGGTGAGTGAATTTTTGTGACTCGTGTATTGTTTATATCGTTGCCTTGTTGAAACCGAAAAGATCGACAAAATGACTGGAAATATATGATAGAGAAAAATATTTAAATAATCGATTCTATATTACATTATATAAATGTTTAAGTCCCTTCAAGGAATATATTGAAAACGCTAAATTTTAAAAGTGTATAGAATATTCAGTTGATCAGTTTTGGTTTCAATAATTGTAACAACTGTAATTACTCTATAAGAACGCTAAACTAACGTTTCATACAGGACCTGAATTACATTTTTCCAAACAATATTGGTTTGCGTCGGTTATCAGGCGTCTGACCACGCACAGTCCCATTCTACTTGTCGACCGAGTGTTTGCCTCGTAACTACTTGTAGAATATGGCCGCTCGTATGTTTGTTCCGCTACTTATCGAACGAATTCGACCACATGTGGGTCTCCACCGTTCGTTGTTTCTAGACCAGCTGCACTACAGAATTATTATACCTAAATCCTCTACACACCCCATTACCTAAAATCATAAAATAAAACCCTCTGTCCCATTCCACTAAATCTGTATGTCAAGAGAACAGTATCATATCAGAGAAATCAATTTAAATCTAACAGATGAACCTCCGATTTTTATACATATTTAAAAAGTTTTCACCAATAGTTTTCGAACGGTAACAACTGCATTAAGAATCCAGAACCGTTTCCCCAAAAAAGCTCCAGTCTCCTCCATGCAACATCGCCAAAGAGCCCCCGTTATTTCCCCGAATCCTCCCCGACCACAATCCCTAACGCAATTAAAAGTACCTCAGACCGTCCACCAATCGTTTCTAATCCACTCACCGGGCCCCACTTAACCCGGTTTCAATAAACGAACTCTGACCAAAAGGAACGTAAACAAAACTACGACGCAAGGCCCGAATAAAACGTCGTCGACCTACGGTCCCGCTGCTCCGATCTCATTTCGTTCCGTGTCGTTCGTCGAGCTCCTTCCGTCCAGAAGACGATCCCATCACCGTTAGACCGAAGTCAGGACGATGGGAGTCGCCGCACGGATCGGTCAGAGGCAACGGAGGATGACATTCGAGACCGAGAAAGGGACGGTCGTGCCCAGCCAGATGCTCGATGGAAAGGGTTACCAGAAGGGATAGGTATCTCGCTTTTCCCCCAATCCCCTTACGCCGCCAATTCGGCGCAATGGAAACCCGCATTTCGTTGGCTAAAGCGCGCCTTGCCCCGTGGCCGGTAATCTGATCTGATCCGAAGAGGGCCGCCGTTCGGTGAACAAAAGCCGCTGTGAGGACCAAGTAGGGCAGAACAAACCCGGATAGACCGACATTGTTACACGACTCCACTCCACCGACTCTGCGTCCATCTCGAGGACAGGTCACTCTTCCATCCTTCCCCTATCAATCGTTCGCTCGTCTTTCGCGACGTCGAGGCTGCTCTGGAATTTCTTTGACCCTCCTGATGGCTGCTGCATCGGTCCAACGGATCGACGAGCCTCGAGGAACCAGGGGAAATTCAGAGATCGTGGCGATGCAGGGATTCGAGGAGGGGGTAATCGATACTCGTTGCTCGTCGATTAAATAAGTTTCACGTGAAGGTGATTCGCCCGCGGGGGATGATTGATACGGGAATACGCAAACCCCCGGAGACCGTCCAATGATTGATCGTACTACTTAATTCGGTGGGACTGATTGGTGGAAGCTAGGATAAGCACTGCTCGGAATGTTCCGTTTTGGCGGTTCATGATGTAGTGCACGATGGGAGACTGATTTTCGTGTAAATTTGTTCTTTATTCGTGATGGCTTGATGCGGATAGAGAGAGGAATTTAGGGGGAAATGTACGGAGTAGGGAAGAGAATATTGTAAGTCGATCATTTTTCTATTCATTTGCCGAAGAAATCTGGCGGAAAATTGTATCGTGGCGCCTCAATCCTGTGGAGCATAATACATATACTCATTTTGATTCATTTTTTGTCCTGGTTTCACGTACGTTTAGGATTTGCAAAGTTATCTAGGTGACGGATTAGGTTACCTGGTAACTGAAAGGAGCAGGAAACAACGAGACTTTACTTATATGAAAACAGTGATATTGTTCTTTAAAGAAAGAAGGAAAGGAAAGATCGAGTGGGATCTTCTTTTGGAGATTTATTAACCCATTGCCTTATAATAAAGTAATTACGGTAACAATGTCATCAAAGAAATCGTAAAGCAAAGGGTGAACATGATGACTGCCACAGTGACAAAGTCTGCACGTAGCCGGACACACTGTATTTAGTTTTTTTAGGTATATGGATTTAGTTAATAGAATCTTGTTTTCAAATCAAAGTGATTCAAAGAAAAAAAGATCGCAAGGATTGCATCCAAGAATACTGATTTCACTCAAGGTAATCTGAACTCATTGGCTCGTTCGAAGAATCTACAATCAATTCCACGTTTACCTTTTCGCAAGCAACGAATTCTACAAAATACACTGGGATTTCGTGTTTACAGCATCAGCGTGAACTCTCAGCCACGGTAGCTCGAGTGTTCTCGATGAGAGAACGGTTAGCAAAAGGGGCTAACGAATAGAAGCCACACGGACGAAGTAGGTCAAAACAAATGCCGAGCAACGTACGTTGTGTTTCGTTCCACTTATTCGTCCAGCGACTTTTCCGAGTCGAAAGAATTCCTTTGAACATCGCTATCCGTCGGTGTTTCCGCTGGCTAAGCGGCTGGAGGTCGAATCGCCGGCTCTGAAGAAGAAGAAGGGAAAAAATGGCGGTCGATAAACGCCGCCAGGGGCCCATTGTCCCCGACGAAACGATAACTGACGAGGTTCGCGTGACGCTCAAACTCCCCTATGGAGATCACGGTGAACGAAGCGCGCGGGAAAAGGTCGAGGAATCGTATTCCGAGCTGGTCGCCACAAAGACGCTTGAAAACAGGGGAAATCGAGGTAAAAGGGTGCGCTCGAAACTCGGAAGAAACTCCGACGATTCGACCGTGTTATGTCCCGCCCGACAATGCAACCACGAAGTAAACAACTCTGAAAACAAAGTGGCGTTTTCACGAAGACGCTTTTATCTTTCCACGGAGCGCAACGAACGCTTCGGTGTATTGTAGTTCAGGGGGAGCAAAAGGGAGGGATGGATCGAATGACGACCGAAAAAGGATTAAAAGGACGCTACGTTGATCCTCGAAATTGCATATTTGTCACGTTTCGACAGTGTCCACGTATGGAAACGGTTTTCTGGAACGTACAACATGCGTCAACGAACGAACGAACGGGCAGTGTCATCGGGTCATCGATCATCGATACGATTAATGCGAAGATTGATACGCGTTCATCAGGCTCCATTTGTTAGGTGGTGAGAGCTGCAACAATATTTGCTGCAACATGGGATAGGTACGCGCGACGCTCGGGACAATTTATTAAACCCTTTATTACGTCGCCTCCTTGTCGTGAATTCCCCATGGAGAAGGGGGGAGTGATACGTTCCTCTTCGCTTGCGTCTGCTAGGGAAAAGATCACATTCTTCGGCGAAGACGATACGTTCGAGCTGACGTGGATGCTACCGTAAAACAAGTTACTGTCTTTTTCATTTCTGATCAGACGATCGTATAACCGGTTTACTGGGTGACCCATATTGATATTTTTATTATGTATGTAATATTTCAGAATCGGTTGCATAAATACTAAATTTATTTTATGTTACACTATTTTTCATAAATAGATATATTTCTGAAATTTATATTCTCTTTATTACGGATTCCTCAAGGTTGATATAAAACCTGAAAAGAGGACGTGAAACCATCTAGAATCCATACAATGCATCCAGGACTGGTAATAATGTAATGTAAGTTGCAGAGCTTAAATGTGACTTAAACGAGCCGACTGTACGCTGGAAGAATTAATTCCGAGGACGTCTGATCGGAAACAGTGGAAATGACACAAACTGCGTCAATAAAACACGACGTTCATCAATAACGGCCGCATGAATATGCAAGCTTCATGAATACTGAATTAAATTTATTTAAAACTGCATTCAATATTCATGAATCCACTATCGGCCGCCACCTTCTGACGGTTGACGTTTCATTGTTGTCTATTGATTCCCCGGCATCTTTTCATGGCTTTCATGCGATTGCTTTGCGTTGTTCACGCCGAATTCTTAAAACGTACTTGTCAAAAGAAGCCAATAGAACACAATTGCAGAACACGGTACGTTAAACAGTTAATTCAAATGATCCATTGTCTAGAAATACAGTAAAGAACATAGAAGATGTATACAGTGACTACCAAAAGATTTCGGCCAAACTGTAATTTCAACACATCTTTTTATAAATATATAATAGGAATAAATTCTTGATATACCTATGTATATTGATGATATATTGCTCCTTAAAATTCGATGACATTAAAAATTTTCTTGTATAAGAGTAATCTGTTCTTCTGACAAATACAATTCTGCCAAAAGTTATGACAAAAATATGGTTAAACAACAGTTTAGCCGGAAACATTTGATAGCCACTGTAAGAAGAGTCAAACAGAAATAGTACCAGAAGTGTCTGCATAATTTCTTCATCAACCGCTGTAACTACGAAATAAATTTCCAACCCTTAACGATTAACAGACAGTGACAATTACGACGTCATTCTGACGTACACGACTAAATTTAATTACCAACCAAGGACGTCGGAGATACGACCTTCGTGAAACAGGATCGAAACGATCGTAAACTCTGCGTTCGAGAGCTGTCGGTAACGACAGATTCGTCGCTCTGTTTCCCCCTGAACACGTCGACGTGAGACTCCTTCTAATTAAAAGCTCCTCGAATCACGGTTCCCCCTGGCTTTTAACCACTCGTAACTGCATAAAAATGACCGAACAGGGTATCGTTCGGATCTCGAGAATCTCGTGAAACCGTCTTTGTTCCGTTCTGGACGTACAATGACTCGAAAGCCCCAGGGTGGTCGTCGAAACAACTTTTCTTCGGGACGTTCGAACAGTCACG